AGATTGGGTTGAAGTAAATGAATATTTACATACAAAATAGAACAATTTGAAAATAACAATCTAACAATGATAATATTCATTTACTCAAACCCTGTCTGGTTCTTGTGTATCTAAATACTCAAACCTGATCTGGTTCATTCCCGAAGTTTTGTCAGGGTTTACTGGGTATTGCTGGTAGATACAGAATTGAAAACATAAGAATACTTTATGTTATCATATTCAAAACATGAAAACAAAAAAAGATGTATCATTAATACAGTCCTTGTACAATTCATATTGCTTATGTTTTACAAAATACATTAAAATTGGATATCCATACGGATGGAAAATGCATCATTCTGTGTGATTCAAAATGGACACCTCTCTGAAATTTTCTTTAATAATAGGTTGTAGACAAGGAGATACAATATCAAAATATTTGTTCCTTTCTGTCATTGAAATTCTGAGTATCAAAAAACACAAATATTAAAGGAATAAAAGTAGATGGCATACATCATAAACTAGGACAACATGCTCATGATGCCTTGCTCTTCCTAGAGGGCACTGACCACAGCCTTAAAGTCTGTTTTTTTAAACCAAATCAATATGGATTGGCTCAATGACAGGAAGTAAGGTCAAACTATGTCAAAACTTTACATTAGATTGGCAATGGAAAGTTTGGGGGACAACTATTAATGCTCAATACAATGCTTTGTGGGTAATTAACACAAGGAAAGGAATTGAATCTATTCACAGAATTCTAGGGCATTGGAGAAACAGAAGCCCAACTCCAACAGCTAAAATAACAGTTATTAAAACATTAGCATTATCAACAGTGGTCATGTATTATCAGCCTTACTTAATCCACCTATCAGTAAGACATATATTGAAGAACAGAAAAGAATCTTCTATAGATTCATCTGGAATGGAAGCCTTATGAAATTAAAATACAACATTCAGGAAAAGTGATGGAGATGAGGGGATGAGTATGATTGATATTCTAACATTCATATATTCAATTAAACTATCCACCATCAAAAGATATCTTCAGAAATCCAATTTCAGTAACCCCTATAAAATACCTATCCAGGTAATTGTATTATCTGGCCAAAAATTGGGAGATTCGAGTCCAAGATAATCCAGTTTGGCAAGATGCCGTCTCGCCATGGCATAAGACTACATTCGTTAGCCTTCCGTGCAGACTTCACAAGTTCAATTCCAGCTTGTGACCAATGTTTTTCATGACATCGTTCTATCATAAAGGTAAATGATAGGGGGGAAAAAAAGAATCCTACATGAACTTTTATGGCTCCTCACTTTGTTATAGGTATAAATAGGTGTAAGAAGGGCATCCACACTATTTGAGATCTGTGTAATTCTGATTACTATATATAAAAGCAGAGTTCCAATGGGCATCACAAACACATGCCTACCATGATTAATGTTGCTATGTCCCCCAAGCTTTGGGCTGCTGAGGGGTCAAATAGTAGAAAGCCATGATGGTGAATTGCTCTATTCGCTTTAGTGTGTAACATTTCTCGAACAGAAAGCACTATTAGATTTAAATGTCGCATGAAAAAGAACCAGCAAGGTTTAAATCTTTGTAAGATGCGATGTTAGAAAAACACAAGTACCTCTGAATATAACGCAAGCGATGTCTCGTATTATTGTACAAAGTATTCATTTGCAGTGGTGTTCCCTTGAACTGGCGTCTCCAAACTAGCCTCATTAGGACTTAGGACTTAGAACTTACATTAGCTATCTTGACATATTGGAATTTATTGTGACATCAGGTTCACTGCACATGGGTGGAAACAATGACATGCATAACTAAGATCCCAATAAACACTGTAATTAAGTACCACAGTGCTTCTCACAAAGTTCAATTTCAAGGGCAGTTAGTTTGCTTACACAAGTTGATCAAGCAGCTATGACTGTCACATACGGTGTATGACAGAGTATTTGTTCTTAGTAGCCTGTTAAATAATCTTATAATTACAAGGAAAACCATGCTCACCCATGCATGTACAATAACAGCGGATATGCTGAATATGTAACACTATTATTACATTCAAAGGAATGCACTAATTTGTGTAACAACACTTGGAACCTGAATAAGCTTTGCCATTGACCTGATGTATCTTGTTTGGATATGCCTTACTTGGGATTTCCTGCTTTTGATTTCAATGAAATAACATAAACCTAATAATTCATGTGTGACAGACTGCCTACAAAGGTTGAGCTGCATTCCGGAACTTCCGGAAGCAAAAGCAGTCGTCCTATCAGACTCGCTAAGTTCACTTCAAGCCATCAGTGGCAGAAACTGAAACTCCAGGCCAAACACAGTCAACAATATTCTATACGAATATACAAAACTATCGGACCAAGGGCAACAGGTGGAGCTGTGTTGGATCCCCTCTCACATAGATATTCATGGAAATGAAAAAGCAGACTCACTGGCGAAGCTAGTTCTAGACAAAGTGGTTATACAGCCTATTCCCTTTAGTAAACTAGAGATCAAAATCAAAATCAAAGCCTCCATAGCAGAAAGATGGCAAGTCCAATGGGACGCAAGTAAAATCGGCAGATGGCTCTTCAAAATTCAACCCAAGGTCCAACAAAAGCCAAACTCATACTCAAATGAAAGGAAAATTGAAACTGCTATCTCACGCCTCAGACTCGGTCACAAAAAGCACTATGAAAAGGTTTGTTCATCTTTCAATCAGGCTGAAACCATTGACCACGTGTTACTAGAATGTCAAGACCATGCCACAGCCCGGGCTAGGTTAAAACAAGAATTGCAGTTACATCCGCTATCTGTCATAGATCTCCTGAAGCCAAGAGATGAAATAGCGAAGGCCAAACTAACTCTATTTCTGAGAGATGGACAGCTACTCGAACGTATATAAACAGAGCAGCCAAGGATAAAAATGAAATCACATCAATATAGGAAATAGAAATGATATCAATACAAAAACAGAAATTATGTGAATACCAAACTCAAAATAGATATGAGTACCCTACTCACACACAGGAGTCCCAAAGAGGGACAGGTCAGCCGAAATTGCTTAGGCAGAAGGCCACCTCTTAAACACTTAATGCAACAACAACAACAACAACAGACTCAAGCCTCTAGTGATCAATCTCCCATGCTGTGCATCTGATCCAAGTCACCCGGTACTTGCTGCCCTCATGGCCCCCAGCCTGCTGGGATGGTCGCTGTTACTTCTTGGTTGCCGTCACCTCCTCTGATATTGCTACCAGTCCTGGGTCATGGGGTTATCCTCCTCGATCCTGGGATGGTAATTCACACTGACTGAATTAAACATAGTTAGAGCTGACACTGTGTGTGTTCCTGGCTGCTTCCAGTGATCCTGAAATATCATCTTGTGTGCAGCTAGACTCCACAGTACATGTGGCATCTTCCCCAGTCAAGGGAGTTAACTGACTAAAAGTCCAGTTTCCACCCTTGCCGAACTAGGCTGGAATTTCTGGGCTCAATCGTAGCGCTACCAGTGGCTGTTACCAGTTATGTCCCTCTATGTCCCACCTATTGACCAATCCGATTCTACCTCTCATATTACTTGCATTTGGTTCAAACAAAATGGTCTTACTCTGCGAAGTGCATCAAATCACATGAGCACCTTGATTAAAAACATGAAAAGTTTTGGAAAATTGACCGGATGTCGATTTCGTTATGCGATTCTGATTTGACTATGCATGGACTCGTTAGTCTAGCCAAAACATAAATTCCATAATTCCAGCCCACTTTGGCATGGGTGAAAACTAGACTTTTATAGTCAGTTAGCACCCTTGCCTTGGAAAGATGTACATCTGGTAGATTGGCACTTCTAGCAGGATTGAGCATCTCTGGTGATCATAAAGTGCCAACACTAATTAAAAGCTGAAGGACGTAACACCATTTTGTTTTCAACAAACAACGATGACCATCCCAGCCAGTAGTTTCTAAGGTAAACTAATCCTCTTCAGCTATAATGCAAGTGAAAACCACTATGTAGTTTACGAGTAATATTCGTAATTATGTGCTACAACAACAATTATTTTTCATTCTGACAGAAGCCAGAAGCAAACAAGAGAAAAGTGAGGTTCTCCCACCTTGCACATGTGCAAGAGGCTCAGGAGGGTAGGCACTATTAGTATCTCAACTAGTTAAGGATAGTTTACAGAGGACTTTTGTCGAATATCTGAAAATATTTAAAGTGTCAAGATAGTGGAAATACAGGATTTGGCAGTTTTAGTGTCAACACTTATTCATGCAGATCACCAAGATTGGTTATAGCGGGACTATGAGACCACAGCATGCAGTCAAACAGTCTTTCTCATCACACTGACTTTGACATCAAGTTTAAAGTGTCATAATAATCAGAAATAATGTTTCTGTATTTATTCATGCAAGGGAATTCCAAGGAGTTTCCCCAGGAATGCGGAAATATCAGTTCACAGTACCTCTCTGCCTGTGGAAAAGTTGTATACCGTGTAAACTTCACATTAAAAGTTATGAATTCATATATTCTGGGGCTGTGTTTATATACACAAGGAGATAACTCTGCTATGCCACACTGATGCCATGTAGAAATGAATGAAATTTGTGATTTATGAAGTATAAAATGGTCTTCTAAAGAATTTCAGCAGACAATTAGTGATTGTGCAAATAAAATATTTTAAGGTCTAAAAAAGGGTTTAAAAAAAGTGAGAAAGAAAATTTATTACTGTTTAATAATTGTACTTACCAAATACTTTGAAAGAAAAATGGGGTACTGATGTGAGACAAAGGGATTACCAAATTACTAAGTAAACAGCTTATAGATGTGGCGAAATTGCTAAGAACATATTTCAAACTCAACTAAGCGAATTGATGGCTTCATATCTACAGTCCTTATACATGATTGATTTATTCACGCTAATTTCAAACTTTGGATTATAACCTAAGTTGTACAGACATATTGGCCATATAACAGATTGTTAAGTCACCAGGTGAGCTAGTACTCCTGAACACTCACCACAGGCTCGATGAGGTAGTTACCATATGAAAACATGTTCTTGTAGCGTTCAAATGTGAAGAATTTAACAGCTCTTTTTGGTGTTTCTGCCATTAAAGGTGGCAGGATCCCCTTGTAGAAGGACAGAGGCCTGGAACAGAATCTACACTGCACAGGGAATCATAGTGCTGGCTAGACAGCTGCTGCATCTCTCACCACCATGCAGAATCTACAGTAGACAGGGTATCAGTGCTGGCTAGACAGATGCTGTACCTCTCACCACCATGCAGAATCTACATGAAAAGGGTATCAGTGCTGGCTAGACAGCTGCTGTACCTCTCACCACCATGCAGAATCTACAGTAGACAGGGTATCAGTGCTGGCTAGACAGCTGCTGTACCTCTCACCACCATGCAGAATCTACAGTAGACAGGGTATCAGTGCTGGCTAGACAGCTGCTGTACATCTTACCACCATGCAGAATCTACAGTAGACAGGGTATCAGTGCTGGCTAGACAGATGCTGCACCACTATGCAGAATCTACAGTAGACAGGGTATCAGTGCTGGCTAAACAGATGCTGTACCTCCCACCACCATGCAGAACCTACAGTAGACAGGGTATCAGTGCTGGCTAGACAGCTGCTGTACCTCTCACCACCATGCAGAATCTACAGTACAGAGGGTATCAGTGCTGGCTAGACAGCTGCTGCACCTCTCACCACCATGCAGAATCTACAGTAGACAGGGTATCAGTGCCGGCTAGACAGATGCTGCACCTCTCACCACCATGCAGAATCTACAGTAGACAGTGTATCAGTGCTGGCTAGACAGATGCTGCATCTCTCACCACCATGCAGAATCTACATGAGACAGGGTATCAGTGCTGGATAGACAGATGCTGCACCTCTCACCACCATGCAGAATCTACAGTAGACAGTGTATCAGTGCTGGCTGCTGCACCTCCTACCACCATGCAGAATCTACAGTAGACAGGGTATCAGTGCTGGCTAGACAGATGCTGCACCTCTCACCACCATGCAGAATCTACAGTAGACAGGGTATCAGTGCTGGCTGCTGCACCTCGCACCACCATGCAGAATCTACAGTAGACAGGGTATCAGTGCTGGATAGACAGCTGCTGCACCTCTCACCACCATGCAGAATCTACAGTAGACAGGGTACCAGTGCTGGCTAGACAGATGCTGCACCTCTCACCACCATGCAGAATCTACAGTAGACAGGGTATCAGTGCTGGCTAGACAGCTGCTGTACCTCTCACCACCATGCAGAATCTACAGTAGACAGGGTATCAGTGCTGGCTAGACAGATGCTGCACCTCTCACCACCATGCAGAATCTACAGTAGACAGGGTATCAGTGCTGGATAGACAGCTGCTGCACCTCTCACCACCATGCAGAATCTAAAGTAGACAGGGTATCAGTGCTGGCTAGACAGCTGCTGAACCTCTCACCACCATGCAGAACCTACATGAGACAGGGTATCAGTGCTGGCTAGACAGATGCTGCACCTCTCACCACCATGCAGAACCTACATGAGACAGGGTATCAGTGCTGGCTAGACAGATGCTGCACCTCTCACCACCATGCAGAATCTACAGTAGACAGGGTATCAGTGCTGGCTAGACAGATGCTGCACCTCTCACCACCATGCAGAACCTACAGGAGACAGGGTATCAGTGCTGGCTAGACAGCTGCTGCACCTCTCACCACCATGCAGAATCTACAGTAGACAGGGTATCAGTGCTGGCTAGACAGCTGCTGAACCTCTCACCACCATGCAGAACCTACATGAGACAGGGTATCAGTGCTGGCTAGACAGATGCTGCACCTCTCACCACCATGCAGAATCTACAGTAGACAGGGTTTCAGTGCTGGCTAGACAGATGCTGCACCTCTCACCACCATGCAGAACCTACAGGAGACAGGGTTTCAGTGCTGGCTAGACAGCTGCTGCACCTCTCACCACCATGCAGAATCTACAGTAGAAAGGGTATCAGTGCTGGCTAGACAGCTGCTGCACCTCTCACCACCATGCAGAATCTACAGTAGACAGGGTTTCAGTGCTGGCTAGACAGATGCTGCACCTCTCACCACCATGCAGAACCTACAGGAGACAGGGTTTCAGTGCTGGCTAGACAGCTGCTGCACCTCTCACCACCATGCAGAATCTACAGTAGACAGGGTATCAGTGCTGGCTGCTGCACCTCTAACCACCATGCAGAATCTACAGTAGACAGGATATCAGTGCTGGCTAGACAGATGCTGTACCTCTCACCACCATGCAGAATCTACAGTAGACAGGGTATCAGTGCTGGATAGACAGATGCTGCACCTCTCACCACCATGCAGAATCTACAGTAGACAGTGTATCAGTGCTGGCTAGACAGCTGCTGTACATCTCACCACCATGCAGAATCTACAGTAGAAAGGGTATCAGTGCTGGCTAGACAGCTGCTGCACCTCTCACCACCACGCAGAATCTACAGTAGACAGGGTACCAGTGCTCGCTAGACAGATGCTGCACCTCTCACCACCATGCAGAATCTACAGTAGACAGGGTATCAGTGCTGGCTAGACAGATGCTGCACCTCTCACCACCATGCAGAATCTACAGTTTAAAGGGTATCAGTGCTGGCTAGACAGATGCTGCACCTCTCACCACCATGCAGAATCTACAGTAGACAGGGTACCAGTGCTGGCTAGACAGATGCTGCACCTCTCACCACCATGCAGAATCTACAGTAGACAGGGTATCAGTGCTGGCTAGACAGCTGCTGTACCTCTCACCACCATGCAGAATCTACAGTAGACAGGGTATCAGTGCTGGCTAGACAGCTGCTGCACCTCTCACCACCATGCAGAATCTACAGTAGACAGGGTACCAGTGCTGGCTAGACAGATGCTGCACCTCTCACCACCATGCAGAATCTACAGTAGACAGGGTATCAGTGCTGGCTAGACAGCTGCTGTACATCTCACCACCATGCAGAATCTACAGTAGAAAGGGTATCAGTGCTGGCTAGACAGCTGCTGCACCTCTCACCACCATGCAGAATCTACAGTAGACAGGGTATCAGTGCTGGCTAGACAGCTGCTGTACATCTCACCACCATGCAGAATCTACAGTAGAAAGGGTATCAGTGCTGGCTAGACAGCTGCTGCACCTCTCACCACCATGCAGAATCTACAGTAGACAGGGTACCAGTGCTGGCTAGACAGATGCTGCACCTCTCACCACCATGCAGAATCTACAGTAGACAGTGTATCAGTGCTGGCTAGACAGATGCTGTACCTCTCACCACCATGCAGAATCTACAGTAGAAAGGGTATCAGTGCTGGCTAGACAGCTGCTGCACCTCTCACCACCATGCAGAATCTACAGTAGACAGGGTATTAGTGCTGGCTAGACAGATGCTGCACCTCTCACCACCATGCAGAACCTACATGAGACAGGGTATCAGTGCTGGCTAGACAGATGCTGCACCTCTCACCACCATGCAGAATCTACAGTAGACAGGGTATCAGTGCTGGCTGCTGCACCTCTAACCACCATGCAGAATCTACAGTAGACAGGGTATCAGTGCTGGCTAGACAGATGCTGCACCTCTCACCACCATGCAGAATCTACAGTAGACAGTGTATCAGTGCTGGCTAGACAGCTGCTGTACATCTCACCACCATGCAAAATATACAGTAGACAGTGTATCAGTGCTGGCTAGACAGCTGCTGTACATCTCACCACCATGCAGAATCTACAGTAGAAAGGGTATCAGTGCTGGCTAGACAGCTGCTGCACCTCTCACCACCATGCAGAATCTACAGTAGACAGGGTATCAGTGCTGGCTAGACAGATGCTGCACCTCTCACCACCATGCAGAATCTACAGTAGACAGGGTATCAGTGCTGGCTAGACAGCTGCTGTACATCTCACCACCATGCAAAATATACAGTAGACAGGGTATCAGTGCTGGCTGCTGCACCATGCTTTATTCTTTGCTCGAACATTAAGTACTGACCAAACATAAGACATGGCAGTGCTAGTAAAATCCTTGATATTTTCTTTCCTGCATTACTCCTTAATGCATATTACTGCTTGTTCTTGACAGAGAAAAGAGCTGTGTGAAGGTCTTTGCTTGAAGAAGTTGCTCCAACTAGCTGAGAGGCCAACCCTATCAAGCAGCTCCCACGTGACCAAAGGAAGTGACGTCATGGATCCTCACATTACTCTGGAGTCCGGACATCGGAAGGCATCGTGGGGAGGCAGCTTTGTGATGGGTGGGTCTCTTTAGATGCAGTAATGCAGGATAAGTATACAAATATATAAAAAAAATATCTAGGATTTCACTAGATTTTTTACTTATCCTGCATAACTCCTTAATGCATCTTTATCTGACGGAATCGGTGAAGGGAATACCTTCAGATGTGGACATCTTTTTTCCAGAGTCTGTTCCCTCAGCTTGGCTGTGTGGTCGGCTTCTCCATGGCTTCCCTCAGCCCGCCTTCAGCTGTATGGTGGCATCAATGACAATTACATTGAAGGGAAGAGTCAGGTATGTGTTGTGTCCTGGTACTACGCAGCTATCGACGATAATCCTAAAGTTAACACCATAAACTGGAGTACCGAGCCGTATGCAAGTGGGGCATGAACCTTCTAGTCCAAGGCATAACGCCAGAGGAGGTCGTAAGGCCGGCTCTTGACTGGAGGCAACGTGTAGTGTAACGGAAGTTTACACGCTATACTCGCCACAACCGGAACAGGAAGTTACCTTGGTTCATACGGGTGATTCGAACATCCGGGTTTTGGGAAAGGGATATTTAAGCTTGTGCGTGCCGCACGAGTTTCAGTCAGCGTCTGGCTCCGGGGACAGGCTTGCCGGAATCTGTGCACACGTGCGTTCGGTATGGTAAGATAATTGTATTAGTAGTAGTTTGTTCTTTTAATTTGCCCAGTCACACCATTTTTTTCTTTATGAGTAGGTTATCATGTTTGTTATAATGGGATAGATTTAGCACGTAGCTTTTTAATATTTTCTGCTGGAAATTGTGTGCCAGTGTTGGTTAGGCTAAAGAAGTTTCAAAACTTTGGACCCGGTGTGTCAACCGAGAGTGTATTAGATATGTTCGAGGACT